TTTAAATTAAAAACAAATTTTTTTGGTAAAGTCATTTTCTCTCTGGCCCCGTCTGGGGCTGTCAGAGGGGAGACAGGAGGATGGGTGAGGGTGCACCTCACCGGACCGCCTGGACCCCAGCCATGAGCCCATCACCCTGGGCCTCCTCGCCTGCCCCACACAGGACTCTCACATTCCACGCTGCCGGCCTGGTTTGTTGTTTTAGGAAAGCAATGACCACAGCACATTCACTGCGGTTCTTTATGGCTTTCCATATGTATAATCGCTCTTTCTCTCCTCGGTTTTTCCAATGTTTTTTTCTTTTAAATAAATGCTCATAAATTTTACTGGTGAAAAGGATGAAAAAACATACCTAAAAGGAGCGGTTTGTTGGGAGGAAAAAATAAAAACTAAGCTGAATGTAGGAAAACTGGACTCCTGTTTAGCATTATATACCTAAGAAATAATTTATTTTGAAAGTGAAGGTTTTATGAAAAAGAGATTATTCTGTAATATCTCTAAAATGTGCATGTCTAAGTCTTGAACTTTTCTTTGATAAACGTAACCCCCAGCTGCCAGCTCCCTGCGCTTGCTGAGGAGACCCCTCAGTCCGAGGAGGAAGACCTCTGGCTTCCGTTCCCCAGCCGTTAGGCTCACATGGGACCTAGAGTATGTTGGATGAACCAGAGGGCCCCAGTCTTTATAACCACAAAAGGAGAGGGCTGGACTAGAAGTTTTTATTGTTGTTGTTAATCCTCACCTAAGGATTGTTTTTTTAGAGAGAGAGAGGAAGGGAGGGAGGGGAGGAGGAGGAAGAGAGAGAGAGAGGAAGGGAGGGAGGGGGTGGAGGAGGAGGGGATAGAGAGAGAGGAAGGGAGGGAGGGGGTGGAGGAGGAGGGGATAGAGAGAGAGAGAGAGAGAGAGAGAGAGCGCGCGCACACGCGATGTGAGACAGACACATTGATTGGTTGCCTCTCCAAAATGCCCCATCCGATCTGGCCCAAGATTGAACCCGAAACCCAGGTTCCTGCCCTTGATCGGGAATCAAACCCACAACCTGTCAGTACTCAGGCCCATGCTCTAAGCACTGAGCCACACAGCGAGGGCCGGACTAGAAGCTTTTAAAGAATCTTATCATCTGGAGAGTTCAATGGCTTATAATTAAGTCAGTCACTTGATAAACTCCAGCAAAGAAAAAGGTCTGCGTCCCCTTCAGAGTAGCTGCTGCAGACTCTGCTGGCTGCCTTCCCAACACCCATCCCCCCTCTCCTCTCCAGCAGAACTCCCATGTTCACTGGGGACAGCACGACGCCCAGCTATAAAGCCATCTCCCAGCCTCCCTTGCTCCCGGGCATGGCCACCCAATACAGTCCCGGCAGTAAGATGTGAGTGAAACCCATGGGTGCGCCAGCTCAGCTGGCTCATGTTTTTTGCCCCTTGCCCTTCCTGCCTGGAATCCGGTTACACAATGGAGGTAGACTAGGGTTTCTATCATCTAATGCTAAACCTAGTCCTAATTTGGACTAGGCTGAGGAGGAGGAACAATCCCTCAACAATATTGAGTACCTACTGCGTGCCCGACAGAACTGAGCAAGGGTGAATAACCCAGACACAGACCCTATCCTCCCAGAGGCCTCAAAGGAGCGGTGGGGACAGACAATAACAAATCAACAAAGACATCAGTGGAGGAAATAAATAAGGCCTTGGGCCCAGCCAGTGTGGCTTAGTGGTTGAGCATCGACCCATGCACCAAGAGGTCACCAGTTCGATTCCCGGTCAGGACACATGCCCAGGATGTGGACCCGTTCCCCAGTGGGGGGCACGCAGGAGGCGGCCAATGATGTTCTCTCTCATCGATGTTTCTGTCTCTCTCTCCCTCTCCCTTCTTCTCTCTCTCAAAGCAATAAAGAAAAAAAACTTTTTAAATAAATAAATAAGGCCTTGGAAAATTGAATAACGGAAGTTCTACTTCCAGGGGGTGGGCCTAGGAGGACTAGAGAGGACATGGTACTGAAGGGGACATTCCGAGGAGTGGGCTGTTTGAAGAAAGAGAAGGATGTTTCAGGCGAGAACGAACAGCCCGTGCAAAGGCCCCGGCGGGGAAGGGGCGGAAGCCCGTGAAACTGGAGCTGGTGAGAGAGGCGTGGACCCAGCGGAGAGGAAGGCAGGGCCAGCCACGCAGCACCTGGGGCGGGTTTTATTTTAAGTCATTGGAGGATTTTAAGGAGAAAGTTGCCTTTGAAGAAGGCACCCGCCTGAAAAGCAGTTTCAGTCCCAACTTTTGTGGGCTGCTGGCTGCACAGAGAGCTTGCCAACGGGGCCGTGGGAGCAAGGTCTGGGCCTGCCGTCCGCAGGGGCTCAGGGCACGTGATTCCGATCACCTGAAGGCCAGGCCCAGGCTGGCGTGCCCCTTCGTCTCTTCCCTCTCTGAGCTGCCTCATCTGAAAACAAGGACAGTGATCGTCCTGCCTCCTGGAGCCGTGAGGACGCACTGTGTTCAACCTGCAGTGCGCCTGGGGGCACGCCTGGCACGTAGTAAGTGCCAGAAAAGCTCTGCTCTGTTCACTGTTACTGGGAAGCCCGCCAGGGTCCAGGCCGCTGGGGCAGTGCTTCTCCAACATAGCAGCAGCATCACCTGGGTCCCATCCCCGGAGATTCTGATCCAGTAGGTCTGAGGTGGCCCAAGAATGTGCATGTCCAACAAGCTTCCAGGTGATGCCAATGCCTGTGGTCTGCAGACCACACTGCTTTAGTCCGGGGCCAGCGCAGCCCTATGGGAACGTTTTGGAGGATGAGCGGCCTCCCACTGTTTTAGCTACCTTCCGCCCCAGTGGGTCATGGCAGAGAGTGGGAGACCCAGAGCCCCAACACCCCCTGGAAGAGGCAGGAGAGCAGGGATCAGTGGTTCTCAGCCTTTAAGGGACCTCAGAACTCCGGGGCAGATGGCAAAAATGCAGACTTGAGGAGTCCACCCTAGAGATTCTGTTTCAGCCTGGGGGTGGAACCCCAAATATTCATGTTAAATAACCCCCTGAATTCTGCTGCACGTGTGGCCAAATGGTGGTTTTGTGACAGTGGTTTTGTTTATAGACAAACCCAAGTTCAAATGTCCTTCAACAACTTTCCATCCGTGCAGCCTTGAATGGCTTTAAAACCTCTCCAAATTGTGCTTTCCTTATCTGAAAAAAATGACCTTATTAATACCAATAATATCCTCCCCATAAGGAGGAAATAAAAACATTTATGCAGAGGGCATAAAAGTTGTAATCACAGACTCCTGTGTGCACAGGTATAACTTGCTTTATTGATCTGTAGTTTGTATTAACTTAGCCCATGACCTCGTATTTCCACTAATAGCAGAAAACTTCAGCTTTGCCATTCTAGATCTCTCACACAACTTCCAGCTTAAAAAACACTCAGCCTCTGCCCTGGCAGGTGTGGCTCAGGGCTTAGCGCATCGACCCACAGCCTGAAGGGTCATGGGTTTGATTCCTGGTCAAGAGCAAGTGCCTGATTTGCACGTTTTATTCTGGCCCTGGTCGGAGTCATGTGGGAGGCAACCAGTCAAAGTGTCTCTCTCACATCAATGTTTCTCTCTCTCTCTCTCTCTCTCTGTCTCTCCCCCTTCCTCCACTTCCACTCTGTCTAAAAAAATCAATGGAAAAATATCCTCACGTGAGGATTAACAAAAAACAAACAAACAAGAAAAAAAGCTCGGTCTCTGTTGGGAAACTGCAGCCCGAACTGGGATTCCCTCCTCTTGCTGGCTCGTCCCCTGGAGATAATCTGGGTTCTTCAAGGGTTCATTACCCTGACCTCCTCGGGCCTCCCCACGGCAGCTCTGGGCCTGGGCACAGGCATCCCCCGGGGCGTGGCCTTCTTGCCTCTGCCTAGAACTTTCTCATTTCTTTGCTCAGAGCTCTCACCAGCTGCTCCGCTAAGGTGTACCCAGCCATGTGGCTGCCTCTAATCACCTGCCCGCACCGTCGCTCAACCACCGACTGTCTGCTGCCCAGGCGCCATATTAGAATGGGCCTATCTAGAGTTTTAATCACCATTGACTCTGCCTTCTTTAACCGGTCCAACCTGTGCTTTTTACAGGTTGGCTGGAAAGGGGGACTTATTCTGCTTTCTTCCTTGTCTGTGATTTATAGTAGAACCTTGTTCTCTGCGTCCTGCCAGGGCCAACGCACAGGTACCCACAATCCTTTTATTTTATGGCAACAACAACAGAAGTCTGGCCCTTGCAAGTAAAAGTTTTGCTTTCTGGCCCCGGCCAGTGTTGCGCAGTGGATAGAGCATTGGCCCGTACACCAGAGTCGAGGGTTGGATTCCCCATCAAGGGCATGTACCTGGGCTGCAGGTTTGATCCCCGGCCTCCGTGCATGGGGAAGGCAACCAAATATTACCCCGTTCCCTCCTTTAACCAAGTGCTGACTTAGCACATGGCCTGGCCTGAACTAACCGCTCAGTGCATAACCACCGTGATGACTATGGCGAAGAGGCGAGAAAGAGGATTTCTTCTCCCTGAATGTGCGCTGCTTTGCTGTGCTGGCTCTGATTGGCTGTGCTTCCAAGACTCGGGAATCCTAGGAGGGTGCCCAGGAGGAAGGTCACGATGGACATTTATGGGGTGAGTGGGATCTTCTGAGGGAGGCCTCTCAAATGTGCCCCTGCCCCCTACCCAGCATGGGAAGTGAAGCAGGAAGAGAAGGTGGCTGCCTCTCTGTGCCCACCTCTCCCGCAAGGGGCTGGAAATGCCAACCCTGGAGATCCACTCTTAGGTCAGACACTGTCTGCTCCAGGCTCATCTTAAGATGTAAACACCACCAAGGGGACAATGTGTATGTTAGCAGCTCCCGGGGGCGAGTTTGTGTTCTGGGCCCTGGGACATGGCAGGAGCAGAAGGCGAGGCCTCGGCCTCCTGAATGCCCGGGGAGAGAAGAGGCGTTGCCAGCTGCCACTGTCTCCTCCTCAGTGCTGAGCCCGAAGGGGCGGCAGTCAGTGCAAGAGACCACCAACCTGTTCAAACTTGCTTTTATTTTCTAAGGGGTTGGGGGGGTGTATAACTTGGGGTTCAGAAGGAGCCCCAGGCCTCAGAGAAGAGGATGACCACCCCTGCTCTGCCCTGTCGTGCTACTAGTAGGGGTGATTCAGGGTGTGTATCATAATGGTCCGAATTGCCATCCACGTCTCCTGGGCCGTGGGGATGATCTGTGTGGCTGGCAACAGGAAGCCATACTGCCCAGTGTCCCGGAGCTCAAAGCTGAAGGAGTACTTGATGCCGCTGTCATAGGCCCAGTCGACGGTGACCCCACTGGCCATGTCTATACAAGAAGGCAAAGAAATTCCCCCAAATGGAAGAACAGAGTGTGGCCACAAGGTACAGAAATATCCTGAGTAGAAAGTGAGCCCTGGAGGCCAAACACATACCCACCCCAAGCCACACCAAGCCTCCCAACCCAGGCCTTAACCTGGGCCACACCCTGCCCACCCGGCCGTTCTCCTGCCCCGGCCAAAAAGAAAGCTCCGTGAGGCCACGAGGCAGAGTCTTCACCCTCCCGGAATGCCGCAGAAAGCCAGGCATCGGGAGCTGCCCCGGAACAGCTCCCTGGTGAGGACATCAGGTCTGGCCCAGCCCCTCTAGACCTATGGCGCTGCCCTGTGGCCTGCCAGGCCTGCCAGTCAGCAAGGAGCCTGCACCTGCCGACCCCAGGTGGACATGGTGCCTCCAGAAGCAGCCAGGGGAAGGCTCACTCACAGAGGGTGGTGCTGATGCTGCCGTAAGTGTACTGCATCCCGTGGACCTTGTACAGGGCCTGCGCTGCGCTCTTGGAGAGATTGCACTGCAAGATGACACCCAGAAGGTGAGAGGCTGGGGCTCCCCACACCGCACACCCTCACCAGCTGCTGAGAAACGGAGTTAGGAGTCCTGGAAGTTGAATGTGTAAGATGGCTCTCGCAAGAAGGGAACACAGGACCTCCAACTTTGGACTTCATCACACATGAGATCGAGCTCCCCACTCCTCCCGACCATGGGGTCACTTGGTCCAGACCCTCATTTCAGAGCGAGGGCCTGAACCCTCTGGGCGTCTGCCCAGTGCCACCCCCAAGCCCTCAGCGGCCAATCTCACCAACTCCTCCTTGCTTGAAACGGGCTCCAGCGAGTAGCCGTAAGGGTACATGAGCATCTGAGAGTAGCTGTGGATGGAGATCAGAGCCTTGATGTTCCTATGGTCTGTGATGAACTTCACAATGGCAGACACCTCCGGCTCCGAGTGAGGGTAGGGCCCGTGGTAAGTCTCTGAGCATGGGTTATCATTAGAACCGTTTCCTGGAAGTCAAAGAAAACCACCCAAAGGGTTCAAATCCCCAGGTTCGGGAAAGACACTCAGTGCTCACAACATTGTCTATGTACACCTCTAGGTTTCCCAGCCTCCTTTGCGGTTTGGTTGAGGCCATGTGTGCAGTAGTGACGTGTCACCTCCAGTTCGAGGCTGTTAGAGCAGGCACAGCTGCTCCACACTCTCTTCTGTCTGTGTGATTGGAAGCAAAAAACTCCGGATAGAAGAAGTGTCCTGGATCCCTCTGCCCCCGCTGGAAGAGACCTGCCAAGGAGAGTCACCTGCCCACTCTGGTCTTCATGTGCATGAAAAACAAACATGCACTGTGCTGAGCCGCTGGGTCTGGAGGCATAATTGTTACTGCTGCATGCCCTAGTCTAATGAATGCATCGGAGGAGTGGAGCTCCCTGGGCTTGTCCTTTGCTTAAGTCCTGACTGTGGCTCCATTAAAAAGGTGAGCCTGTCTCAGCAGTCACCTCCAGAGGAACTCCAGATCGCCAACCTCAGCTTCCCCTATGAACAGCCACCCCTCGGAGCTGACCGTTCATTGCCAAACCTCCACTGCCACGGGAACTTGGGTCAGCTGGAACTGGTGACAGTGACGGTGACGGCTGGAGCTGTGCCCCAGCCCCAGCCCTGGGAGCAACAGGGACTGGGGGCCAGGAAAAGAGAGAATAGATTTCCACAACTGCCTGAGGCTGGTGTGGGAACCACAGATACAAGTCTGAAAATTCTACTTAGGGACCTAAACTGGGGGAGGGGGCAAAGAGGAGCGGGGTCCGTATTTTGTTCACAAATTTAATCTGTTCCATCTCCTCCTAGATTCTTTGCTCCCATCTCTTTCCCTCCTACCCACCCCCCCCAAAGGGCCATTTAGTGGAGGCCTGGGCTGGGCTGGTCCAGATGTGTGGGTTAGGAAAACATCTGGAAAGAGCCATCCCAGAACCTCCTCTCCCTCCTTCCTGAAATGACTGCACACGAGCCTGGTCCAAAGGCCAGGGATCGCCCCAATTTTGGAAGCCTGCTGAGAGCACTGGAGCACCCCTTTCAACCTGCAGGGCAGGGGGCTGGCTGGAGAGCTGGGGACTGGCCCAGGACCAGCTCAGGTGCCGCTCGGGGACGACAGCAAATCGCTCCTCAAGAGTGCAGGTGAGGGCGGTGCGGTGGGAGGGATGATCTACGCATTACTCATTATGCAGTAATTACATGAAGGCAATCATAAAACCATAAACAAAATCTTTCTGCCTGAGTCACCAACCCAGACACATTATCCCTGACCAGAGGCAATCCTCTCCTGGAAGCGCACCCCCTCTCCGTCTGCAGGTCCCACCTGGGGCGGGGGCCCCGCGTAGAAGGGATGTGCCTGCAGGAGCGAGGGTGCGAGGAGCAGTCCCAGGGGCTGGAGTGAGCCCAGCTGACAGTGTCCCTGATTGTTGTGTCTGCCAGGAGCGTCTGCACCTGCTACACTTGATGAATGACAAATAGCAACAGATGAGCAGAGCGGGGAGGCTGAAAGCTTTGTCTGCGTTTGCAGCCCACGCACGGAAAGCCGTTGCCAGCGACCAGGTGGCTTTGCCCAAATATGGAGGAACACTTCAGGCCATTAGTTCTGGTTTGAGCTAAGCAGAATAAACTAATCTTCCCCTGACCAAATGGGAATTAGCTGCCTCCTCTCTCTGCCGCTCACAAAGCCCTCTGAGCCCGCCTGTTTCACAAGTACCTGCTAATGGATTCATTAGCTATTTATTTTTCCTTCTCTAAAAATGTAATTTGTAGCAAGGGGAAGCCTCTGGAAGGACATGGTAAATTATTAAAAGCAGTAATCTTTGGGTAGTGGGATTATGGGAGCTTTTTTCCCCTCTGGGCTTTGTGTGTGTGTGTGTGTGTGTGTGTGTGTTTACTTTGTGTGTATATTGATTTTTTTTTCCTGTGTGAAACAACAAACGTTATTTTCTTTAAGAAGTAATTTGTCTTCCTACTAGCCAGTCCATCTGGGTCAGTGGGCACTCGCTTCGGCCAGTTCTGAGGGGCCGTGTGGATGACCACTTGGGACAGGTGTCTGGCCATTTGGAGGTGGAAATGCCTAATTGTACACAGCTGTGTTCTCTGACACCGGCAGTTACACACACGCCTCAGAATCACAGGAAACCCCCACACTGTGGACCGAGAGCTTCTCTCTGGATACTTCAAAGCTGTCTTTAGTTTTCAATGAGAACAGACCCAAAGAAGGCAGATTTTCAATGGCGGGCATCCAGATCTGGGATGTTCTATCACGTTGGTTTAGCCACCCATCTGTTGATCTGCTTTTCAACAGCAATGGCACTGTCTCCTGTGAAGCCAAACCCCGACCCCCCCCGCAGAGTACAGGTGCCACATCAGGGGCAAAGGGCCGTGCCCACGCAACTCTCTCCTCTGGACACCGTCCTGCCTAGACCCAGGATCCCACCCACTCAAGTACTGCGCTCCCAGGTCCACATACTCTCCGGGCTTTCTGGAGGCCTCAGTTCCCTCTCTAGTCCCATGCCCCGGGCATGGTAAAGCAGGTGTCAGGAAGAACCAAGGAAGTGGGGAGGAAGCTGCCCACGCCTCCCTGAAATCATACAGCCCTGCAGATAAGCCCCGCCCATCAGCCCAGGGTTACAAAGTAATTGGGTCAAAAATTTAAAACCAGGCTCAAGCGGTGCTAATGATCAGGAGTCGGCTTATTCTATATTTGAGTATTGTTCAGGCCTCCCCAGAGGGCAAATTTAGGTCACAGCTCTCAGGAAATGAGTTTGGAGGCATGTTCGTGTGGCCTGCCCCCTTCAGGGACCGGCCAGAGGCATTTCGGGGGCGGCAGAGACTCTGGGTTTTAAACAACCAGCAAGATCCCCTGCACCTCCTCGAGCCCTTCTCTGGCGTATTTCGGATTTGCCCATTGCAGTTAGTCCCCATGCAACACACTGTTTCCATGTTTCTCATGAAGGCTTAGCACATGTACACCCTTCACACACATGTGCCACCTGTCCCCGTCTCCCAAGGCTAATCCTAGGCACGTGCTCGCTGTCCCTGGCCGTGACTCACTGGCATGGGCTAGCCACGTCGCCTCCTAGGTTAAGTCAACAGTCGGACTGTGTGGGAGATGTGTCAAGGACTGGGTCCTCCGGCCCTGCCCCCAGACTGCCATACCTCCAAAGCCCGACTTCCAGTTCCTGTTAAGATCCACACCAATGCAGGCGACTCCGGGTCGGCTGGACTTGTTCTTCCGCCACAGGCGGTTCTGAGAAAGCCCAGGATGGATGACCTGGTTACTGAGCCCATTCCCAGAGGTGGGAGCCCCTGACATCCTGGCCTAGGAAGGAGGGTCTGGGGAAACGGAGGGGCAGAAGGAAGGACTATCTCGGGCAGGATGGGGCTGGCATGGGGGTGGGCTGAGGCTGCAGACCAGACTCTGCAGTTAAAGCCAGGGTTCGAGCACACATATACTTCACGGGCTCGTGCACAGGAACCTGCACACACGGGCCCCCCTCTTGGACACCTGAGCACAGGCGGCCAGCAGCGGCCTTCCCTGAGCAGCAAGAGGGAGGTCGGAGGACAAGAGCCGCAGCTTCGGTACAGAACAGCCCACCTTCCTCAGTGAGACTCTGCAAGGAACCCAAGGGGCCAGTCCTCAGGGAACCTAAGCCCAGCTCCCAAAGACGAAGTGACCTTTCCTCCATCCCCCCAGACCTGACCCCTGGCCCCGACCCACTTCCCAGGTGTCCTTACCATGCTGTGGGTAAAAGCAAACCCGTCAGGGTTGGAGACGATCTCCAGGAAGATGTCCATGGTGTCCAGTATGTTGGTCAGGATGCAGTCCTTGCCATATTCACTGACAATCTGCAAGAAAAAACAGAGGGTACAGGAAGAGGGATGGGCTCTCCTCCAAGGCGGAGCAGGACATTTGCACAGCCAGTGGCTGCAGGCAGAGGGGACATCAGGCTATGAGATGCATCCTTCGTACAGAACCAAAGGCTTGGATTTTAAGCAACTAAAAGGCAGAGGCTAGATGTGAGCTCTGTGCTGCAAAAGACCAGCTGGCAGCTGTTCCAAAGGGCAGGAGGGTAGAGAGCACCCTGAGTTTAAGAAACCAAGTATAATATTTCATCTGGAGGTGCCCTTAAATAGGCAAGCAGCCCCCGCCCCCTACCCCAGCCCCCATCATCCGTGCTGACCTTGTCGGCAGTCCAGATGCCGGTGGCATGGGTGATCCACTCCCGGGAGTGAATTCCAGTGTCGATCCAGATGGCCTGGCGCTGAAACCCTCCCGTGCTGAACTGGGGAAAAGCGCGGGACTCATACAAGTTTGAACCGGGACAGCTACAGGGCTGTCCCTAGGGTGCCTGGAAGGAGGCCCCGGTTGTATCCTCCCTGCCTGGGGTGGCCCTAGGTGCCCAAGAGGGGGGCCTGTATGTGCAGGTTCCTATGCACGAGGCCATGAAGTGCACGCGTGCCTGAACCCTGGCAACACAGCAGTGCTGTGGACAGCAAAGTGATTCAGCCAGAAGCACAGAATTGTAAGTATCCTAGACACTTCTAGTGCCTCTCAAACTTGAAAGGGCACAAGAATCCGCCCCCCTCCCCGCCCCCCCAGGGATCTAACAAAAATGCAGATTCGGATTCAGTAGGTCTGGGGAAGGGTCTGAGATTGGGCATTTCTAACAATCTGGGGATGCTGCTGCTGCGGGTGCAAGACCCACACTTTGAGTAGCAAGGAGTTGGTAAATGGAAGGAAGGAAGGAAGGAAGGAAGGAAGGAAGGAAGGAAGGAAGGAAGGAAGGAAGGAAGGAAGGACGTGGACGCCCCTGGGGTGAACCATCACAGGGACAAAGTCAGGTCCCAAGTTTGGTGAGATCACTTGGCCCTTCAGGAGAGTCCCCAGGGCACTGTAGAGAGCAATAGTGTCTTCTCTGGGGGCTTGATATCAAATGCCCTCATGGTCCACCCTCCTGAGTACCCTTTGGGGCACAGACGAAATTGTTTCCAGTGGATTCCACACTCTACTCTGTCCTGACTCCATTATGACCAAGGTCATTGCCACTGCTATGTCTGCTCAAACTCTGTTTCCAGTGGTCCCTGTGAAGGGCTGGGAGGTTTCCCCATAGACTCAGGCTTATCTGGGGGGCTGCTTGAGCCAGATGTCCTCTGTCTTTTGTAAATGAGGCCTCTATGTACCTCTCTTCCCATTTAGCAGATGAAGTAACTGAGGAAACAGCAAGAATGCCGACCCACCCATACTCATACCCCAAGTCCAGGGTGACCAACTGCCACTCTGTCAGTTCATCTCCGTAGCAACCCTCCCACCTACTTCCTGACCCAGGACATGCCAGGCCACCACACTGTCACCTGTTCATGCCTACAAGGGTGTGCCCCTGATTACCACAGTCCCATAGTTGATAGGTCACCTCAGGACAGGAGTATACACATCTTCTCTTTCCCTAGAACTCCCACCCAGCCCTGGCTGGTGTGGCTCAGTGGGTTGGAGGGTCATCCTGTGCACCAAAGAGTTGTGGGTTCGATTACTGGTCTGGGTGCATGCAGGAGGCAACCAATTGATGTTTCTCTATCACGTTGATGTTTCTCTTTGTCTCTCTCTCTCTCCCTTCTCCTTCTATCTAAAGTCAGTGAACAAATCCTCGAGTGAGGGTTTAAAAATTAATAAATAAAGACCCCCCCACACCCAGCCACGACCCCACATGAGCTCAGTCCTATGCCAGAGGCTCTCACTGTAGGTCTAGTGGTCAACACTATTAGCTTTTACCTTCAGGACAAGAATGGACCGATTTTCAAAGCTCTGGCCAATCTGAATTTTTGAGACAATATTTGCATGCTCAGTTACAAAGCTGTCAATCCAGCTATATATCTGAAAGGAATGAAGTTTATCAGATGGGCAGTTAAGCAAGGAGAGGGTGAACCCCAGGACCTCTCTGAATAGTCTCCTTCTCCCATCCCACCCTCCTTAATGCTCTCCTACCTCCCATGAGGATCTGAAAGAACCCAGATCAAAAACTACAAGAAGACAACCTTCAGGCTTAAGGCAACAAGCTGTGGTCGGCCAGGGTTCCCAGGCTCCTCACCACCATGCAGAGCTAAGGCTTTGCCTGGAAGAACAGCATGTGCTGAGCCTACTCAGTGCCCAGGGTCGGCCTGCAAGGCTCTCTCAGGATGGAAGTTTCTCTTGCTTCCATACAATACGTTTGACAGATTTCATAGACCTTGCAGTGTTATTTTCGGTCTTCTTGCTCCTTGCAGATTCTAAGCCACTTGAAAGCAGGGTTCTTTATCTCTGACATCAATAAATGCTAATGGGTTATATTAATTCATTCTCTTATTCGATACATATCATTGAATTAACAAATATATGAAAGAAAATGGATCCTCTACTACAGGCCTTGTGAAATGGGAAGAGTGAAGATGATGGTGATAGAGGGACAGTACCAATAATGTCACATCCTTCACATGGCACTGGGAGCTGTGCCTTGAGTTTCTTTCTGGACTCTCCTTGCATAGTCTCCTTTATAAACGAGCCACAGTCAGCCATGCCTGCCCCAACTGGCTGTAACTATGATCATGAATTTCTACAACTATAGGCAACTCTGTTCTACAAAATGGCTCTCCAGTATGCCTGGCTTCCTGCCCTTTCTACATTCTAGTACCCACAGTGGGGGCTACTTAACACCAGGAGTGGTTGTGGAGAGATCAAGACCCCTGAATCCCTAGCCAGAGCCTTAGATATAAAGGCGCCTCCACCTGCTCCACTCTGGCCAGCGACGGATCCTGCCTTAGTGTCCCACCTAGTAGACCCATCACTCTGGTCCCGTACCTGCCATGGGCTGACTGTTGAACAGTGGTTCCCTCGATCTGAATCCTGGCTTCTGGATCTCTGAAACTGACTGTCTACCTAGCAGACCTCACCCAATGTCTGCTCTGCACTCCCCAAGTGTCAGTTATGGTCTCCCCTAGACCCCAGAGTTCTTCACTAGTCTTTGCCTAAATCTGGAGACCCTGAGGACCCAAAGGGAAAACAGAGGCCAGAGCCTGACCAAGCAGACCTACCTCCTCCAGGGTGTGGTAAGAGGAGTAACTGAAGCTACTGGTGCTACGCTCCAGCCGACGGGACTTCGCCATGGCTTCTCTCTCCTGATCCAGCAGCACCTAGGTGACAGGAGCACAAATCGGAAGGGAAGGGTGGGATGGGACAGGCATGCCTCTTCTGAGCCTGCCTCAGCTGGCTGTGCACAAGACAGCATCAACACGGGAGAATGAGCCACCCTGAGCGTGAGCCGCAAGGTAAGACGGGATGCCGGGTTTCTGAGCGACTCTTCTGCCTGACAAGCTGGCGCTCATGATGCCACTTCCCAGATGAACACAGGGCAAGGAGCTGGGAGAGCCATGCTCCAAGTCCACCATTGCCACTCACTTACGGTCTAACCTTGGCCTTCATTTCCTGTGTGATCATTGGGACAGCAACTCCTGCCTTGCCCATCTCATAGGATAAAATGTAATCAAGGATATGAAAGTGTTTTGGAAAAGATGCTCATGGTCTACTGCCAACGTTGCTTTTGCCCTCTGTGAACACTCTGTTAAGGCCCTTGTTGAGCCATGAACACTGACCCCTGGGGAAGCAGCGGGCTCCCTGACCCACAGCATCCACTGTGCCCCCAGGAAGTGGCCTAACAATTGGTGTCCAAGCCATTTGGAAAGCCAGTCCAAATCATCATCATTAAAGTGCCAACAGACTTGCACTCACCATCTTAACTGCCCCTTAAGCACCGCGTAGGTAAGCCAAAAGCAATGCCCTCGGGTGTCAATTTGGAGTAGGCACTCAGTCCTCATGTGGTATGTCCCACTGCCCATAGAGAGGGCAATGTCGTGCCCAGGCAGGGCTCACATCCCACGTCATCCTGGGACATTTTCCCCATCTTGGGACTCAGTGGGGTGTGCAGGAGCCCTTCACCCAAGCTTACATACCCTCACACTGGCATCCGGGGACCAAGGCAGCCTGGGGCTCAGCACGGACTGCAGCAGGGGACGTGCCACAGAGGGCGCTGGGAAAACAGGCCCTCAACCCAAAGTTGCCCTGCTTTGCAGCTCACAGTTAAGTCTTGATGATGCCTTGCTTCAGCCAGAGCCTTTCGGTTTACCAGTCATCTTTAACCTCATTACATCATTTGATCTGGTCAGATGACCAGATGACAGGGCAGGAATTGACTATTCATGTTTTAGAGAGAAAACCAATTAAAGAGGTGAAGGGGCCCTGGCCAGTTTGGCTCAGCGGTTAGAGCGTCCGCCTGCGGCCTGGAGAGACCCGGGTTCGGTTCCCGCTAAGGGCACGTACCTCGGTTGCAGTTTGTCCCCGGCCCTGGTTGGTCGTGCGGGTGGCGGCCACTCGATGTGTCCCTTTCACATCGATGTTTCCCTCTCTCTCTCTTCCTCTCTCTCCCTCCCACTCTGTCTGTACAAAAAATGGAAAAAATGTCCTCGGGTGAGGATTAAAAAAAAAATAATAAAATAAAAATAAAAAAATAAAGAGGTGAAGGGACTTAATGGCAAAATTAACCAGGGGCAGAGTTGAGATAAGAAACCATATATCCTAGTTCTTAACCTTGGATTCCTTACGGCCACCTATCCAGCAAAGCTAACAAGAGCCCTGGCTGGTGTCCTCAGTGGTTAGAGCATGGGCCCACGCACCAAAGGGTCGCATGTTTGATTCCCAGCCCCGGTTGGGGCACGTGCAGGAGACAACCAATCAATGTGTCTCTCTCACATCGATGTTTCTCTCTCTCTCTCTCCCCCCTTCCTCCCTCCCTTCCACTCTCTCTAAAAATCAATGAAAAAAATGTCCTCCAGTGAGGACTAACAACAACAAAAAAACCCTAAAAAGAATTATATCTAGATATAGGTATCTATAGATGTAAATGATGATATAAATACAGATATACACATATAGATATGCATATGTAGGTATGTATATAGATATATGGTGTGTCTATGCATGTATGTATACAGATAGTGAGAGCCAGCAAATATGTAAAATGCTGACAACAGGTGAAAGTCCAAGCTATTATTCTTGCAATTAAAAAGTGTTTTAAGCCTGGCCGATATGGCTCAGTGGTTGAGCATTAACCAATGCACCAAGAGGTCACCGGTTCGATTCCCAATCAGGGCACATGTTCAGGTTGTGGGCCAAACCCCCATTGGGGGGCATGCAGAAGGCAGCCAATCTACGTTCTCTCTCATCAATGTTTCCATTTCTCTCTTCCTCTCCCTTCCTCTCCCTATAAAAAAGATCGATAAAGAAAAAAAGTGTTTTGTCCTGGCCGGTTTGGCTCAGCGGTTAGAGCGTCTGCCCTCGGTCCGGAGAGACCCGGGTTCGGTTCCCGCTAAGGGCATGTACCTCGGTTGCAGTTTGTCCCTGGCCCTGGTCGGTTGTGTGGGTGGCAGCCACTCGATGTGTCCCTTTCACATCGATGTTTCTCTCTCTCTCTCCGTTCCTCTCTCTCCCTCCCACTCTACCTGAACAAAAAATGGAAAAATGTCCTCGGGTGAGGATAAAAAAAAAAAAGAAAAAAAGTGTTTTAGAATAATGAAAGAGCAGCACCCTGAGCCAAGGACAAGACACTAAAATGCCAAAAAATAAACCAAACTGCTAACATTAGGATAGAAGAATTATAATTTGACACATTTTTTTTTCCTTTTCTCTGCTTTTACATTTTGGCAACGTCCTTAAACTACTCCAATAAGTAAAACTTTCTAAATGAATAAATAATACTGCAACCCAAACAGAAAGTCCCCCCCGCGAAAGCACAGCCGTCTCGGCCGGAAGGGAGCCCTCCCCACGGCCCCACCAGCTCACTCACAATCTCGCTCGCGTTCTCGGGTTTTACGTGTGGGGCTCGTTTTCTTTTCTTTTTGCGCACCGACTACACGCGAGGCCACCGTGCTTGCAGTTTTGCAGCGGCACTGACTGGGCTGAGGGGGGCCAGCTGGGCCGCCGGCTGAGTCAGAGATGGCTGGAGCAGCCCTGATCCTCACTGGCACGAGCACCACCCTGGGAAGCTCTAACTAAAGGAATTTGTCTGCTTCCCAGGAAACCAGCGGAAATCTCGGCGGCCCCCATGACCCATGTGTGCCCGCCACTGAGCCGGGCACTGCCAGCGTGATGAGCAGCTGCAGGGGAGGGCGCAGGCCGGTGCCCTGCACCGCAGTCGGCCCGTCCGGCTGTGCGGCCCCCGCAGAATAAAGGTGAAGGGTCCATGTGGCACTAAGGAACGTCCTGGGGACTGGTGGAGGCCCAGGCTGTGGGTGACGGTGCAGGACAGTGAGAAGTTGGCAGGAAAGGGCCACAGGGTCCAGCTCTTCCCACGCGGCCAGGGACACCCACAGGAAGACGGCTCCCAAAAGGCGTCCTTTGTTCCGCACGACAGCCTGGAGGCAAACGGGGAGCCAAACTGCGAATATCTTTCCAAACACCCTCGCAGCCCTGGGAGTGCATGTGACACCCGCTTACAAATCGGGAATGCTCAGCCCTCACAGCTGGGCCCCAGTTCCAGGAACATCCATCTGCCTGGCCCCAAAGAGACCCAGATGTTCCTCCCTCGCGGCCGGCAGGGGAGGACGGAGCAGGACCGGCCTGCCGGGCTCAGGAATGCCTAATTACAGCCCTGTCAGGCTTCTCCGAGAAGGGAAGGAAGGAAAACCCTCAGCAGCCAGCCATTTGCCTCCCTGGAAGTCATAACCTGACAGGGAAAGTAATACCGAGGTGTAAATTAATTTATGACAGGAGTGAGGAAGGATGAGGACGTGGAGCAAAGAACAGCACCTCCAGGAAGAGGGAGGGGAGGAGACTGGGGGCCCCAAAAGAGAAGTTAACACCCGAGGGAACGCACGGGCAGAGAAACTCCAACCACAGACATGAGATGGACAGATGGAGACAGTGGGTGGGGGCAGGGGGCGAGCTCTGACCCCCGTGACAACAGCAGTCACTCTCCTCAAGGCCCTGGCTTCTCTTCCAGGCCTAACGTGTGCAATAGCAGCTGCGTGGCTGGTGGCAACCAGGATCCATGCCTACACGGAGGGGGCGGGGCCACAGATTGGGGGTGTTAGAATGGACCCCTGCAGCAGATCAAGGCTGCAATGTGGCATCACTACCTGAAAGGCAAACTTAAACCACCGCGCGCACACACGGACACACACACACACAGACAGACAGACACACACACACGGACAACCTCTGAGAAGGCAGAGGGCACAAGAGCAAAGCAAAGGGTGCCAGTCCTGGAGCCAGACTGTCTCAGACGAAATCCTGATGCTGTCACTAACTTGGGCAAATTGCTAATTTCTCTGTGTCTTCATAAAATGTTATCAGGAAAATGTTATCGTTCAGCACATGTTCTCGTGGAAATTAGAAGGGTTAATACATGTAAAATGCTTAGCACATTGCCTAACATGTAGGAAATACCAGCTGTGGATGATGACTGTGACAATGACAAGACAGCAACAGTGACTCTTGGGGTGACTCCAGGACTGTAATGGAACAATCATTGCAAGGCATGACCAGGAAATCTGGATTGCTCCGGAAGGGAGTGGTGTGTGTAGGACTTGGGACGGCGGAATGCTCTCATTATGGTCACTTGGATGAGTCTGTAAGCAAATGTTGCTGCCTAGGACCAGCAAAGGGGCCGGTCCTTCTGTCCCTGTCCCCTTGGTGCAGCCAGACCGCCTCTCCCTCAGGACCTTGCCCATGACCGCCTCCTCCTCCCCTTGTCTTCTCTTGCACTCATCCCTACCTGTCCTCCTCTCCTCCTTAGAGCTGCACCCCGCCCCCACCCCAGCCGACAGCATTTCCACGCTTGAATCTCTTCCAAACAAGTATTTGCTGAGCACACACTGGGCACTAAAGATATGGCAGCCAACAAAACAAAACTGCCCGTCCTCATGGAGCTTATAGTCTAAGAGGGGTGACAGACAATAAACAAGATAAATAAGTAAATTCTATAGGGTATTACAGGGTAGTAAGTGTCAAGGAGAGAAGTGATAAAGAAGAAGGAGGGAGGGAATTGGGGGAGTGTGGAGAAGAAAGGTACAATTTAAAATAAGGTAAAAGGGTGACATGTGAATAAGATTTTGAAAGCAGTGAGGAACTAAGCCATGCAAGTATCTGCAGAAACAGCATTTCAGCTATAAGGACTAGCATGTGCAAAGGCCCTGAGGTATGAATCTGGTCAAGGGCCCTGAGGCAGGAAAGGGTGGGGCAAGTTTGAGGAACAGCGAGGAGTGTCTGAAGCAGAGTGAGCAAGGGGGAAATAGTCAGTGATGTGGGGTGGGACGTAGACCACGTAGAGCCTTACAGCCATTTTAAGGACTTTGACTTTTACTGTGAGCGAGTTGGGAATGACATTGAGCGTTTTAAACAGAGGAATGATACAATCAGACGTGCAACCAAAGGACCCCTCTGGTTGCTGTTTGAAGACTAGGCAAAGAGGAGGCAAGGGTGGAATCAAGGAGGGTAGTTAGAAAACCTCTGGAACAATCCAGGTGAAGGCTGATGGCGTGTTGGCCCAGGTGGTGGCGTGTGGTAAGAGATATTTCAACGGGAGAGCTGATGGAATTTGCTGATGGATTGGCTATGGGATGTGACAAAGGAGTCAAGGATGATTCCAAGTGTTGCCATTTCTTGAGGCGAGGAAGGCTGTGGAGAAGCTTTTGGGGGCCCTGGGAAGCTCGGTTTGGACCCATGAGGTTTGAGACGCCCATTAGACAGCCAGGTGGAAAATGCTGAGTAGGCAGTAAGGTTCAGGTCAGTAGGAGTTCAGGTCGGATATATGAGGTTGGCTAGCGCTGTAAATATGAGAGTATTCAGGAGGTCGAAAGTATTCAATGCCATGATCTTGGATGAAGGGACAGAGGAGAGCTGGGAAACGGAACATGCAAAGGACCAGCCTGTACGATGGGTTCACCCAGGCAAGAACAGATGTCCAGTTTCGCTCTACAGGAGGTGGAGAAATGGGGTGATAGTGGGGGGGGGGGATCAAGGGAGGATTTTTTTGAAGATGAGAGAAATAACTCTATATCTGTATGTTAATGGGAGCAATTCAGTAGAGAGGGGGTGAAGCAATATTTACACTAAATTGTATTTTGCTCTAGATCCTCAGAGCATGGGTGATTTTTGTTTTCTCCTTTGTGCTTTCCCTCTATTTTCCAAATTACCTAACATGAATATTTATTAATTTTGTAATCAGAAAAAAAAAGCCATTAAAATCCACAGAGCTGATTGCTCAAGTGAAGCTTTTGCACGGTGACTCATCCTGCAGAAAATAAAAACCACCACCACCAAAGCGCTGAAAAGAACGAGGAGGTGAAGAAAAATTAAATGCAAATAGAGCTCACTCGAAATCAGATAATTTCTTGCCTTGCCCACTGCAATTTCCTCACCACCCTCCCTCCTGTCAGCCTCTCCCTGCTCCTGTCCCCGACTCAACATTGTCACTGTCAGAGGGATTTTTCTTAAATGCAAATCTGATCCTGTCAGAGACCTCCACTGGCTCCCCTACGGTTTTCAGGATAAAAACTTGACCTCTTCACCCCGCAGAGGATGCCCTTTGTGATCTGGATGGGCCTCATCGCCAATCTGGGGCCCCTTCCCCTCCTGTCCCCCTCTGCTCTTCAGCCACACCGTAATTACCGCCTTTTCAGAGCGACTTGCGGGGCCTCTTGTACTCGCTCCCATAGCAACCTGCTCCACTCCCTCCGTGCTCTCATCCACTCCATTGTAGTCGCTGATTCACCCCTCGGCTCCCCGCCCCCACGACACTCGGCTCCCCTGGATACAGACCCAGTTCTCATCTTTGTATTTCCAGCACCTTGCCCGGTACCCAGAACACAGTAGGCATCTCAGTCTCTGTGCATAGAATGAATGAACCCACCTCTTCTATCTCAAGCATCCCTCTGATCATAGGGGGAGGGGGGGACACATCCCTCCTCAAAACTCTGCAGTGCCTCTGGCCAAAGGGAAGGCGAGCACCAAGGCTTGTCACGCCCATCTCAGCCCACAGCTAACGCATCCTGTCTCCTTTCCTTCTCACACCCACTAACTCAGCTAACATGTATTAAGCCCCAGCTAAGTGGCAGGCCCTGCAGTAGGTGCTGGGGTATAAAGATGGACACGGGGCGCGATCCTGGACCTTGAGGGGCTCGGGGAAGAGGCATTCCTCTGGGCATGCTCCTCCTGAACCTGCCCATCCAGTGATTCCGCAGGCGGCTGTTGAGGGCCCACCGTGCGGGAAACACCGTGCCAAAAACCGGGGCTGAGATGATCCAGAAGACAGGGAGAAACCATGCCTGTGCGTTAATAGCTAAAACATCAGACTGGAGGCCAAAAACCTGAGTAGTGCAAAGCCCTTCCCCTCCTGTTAGCGCCTCTGAGCTTTCCTCCTCCTGGACACCTTTCCCCATCATCACCACAAATCAACTCAACACGGCAGCCCGCCCCACCCCCAGCTCCCTCTCAGCCAAAATCTGATCTCAAATCTGACCATCGGAGCTTGATGCGTTGCAGACAGAGCGAGTTGGCGAAAATCCTGCCTTGCTGGGCTAAGGCTGAGAGTTCAGGGCATTTTACTGAAAATGAGAAAAAAGCACCCCCCCCAAACCCCCACTTCCAGGGATTCCAGAGCTGGGGACCATGGGGGAGGATGACTCGCTTCAAAGAAGTCAGGGAAGGCTCGGAGGTGCCTCTGGAGCTATTCCCGATGTGCAGAAATCAACAGAAACTTTGTAGCGACCTCCGCGTATCTGCTTGCCAAATGCTGCGGGGTTTCCAGGACCAGGAAGGAGCAGGGAAATGCAAACTTCAAAATGCAGGCATGAGCAACAATGAGAACCAAGCACTATTTCTTTTGATGTGGTGGCCTCTCTTGTCTGTGGGAGTTTCCCCATTTTTGTTTGTGGGGATTTAATTAGAGAAATAGCCCACCCCCCACATGTGGAGCGGGAAACAGATGTGCCCGATGAGGATAAAAGTCTTTGAATGGGCCGGAGTGCCCCAGCCCTGTGCTCGCCTGGGAAAGGAATGCCGCCTAATGCGTTTATCCCCTGGCATGTGGTGTCAAGTGTGTGCGCTGCAGGAGACCCTGTGTTCCCACACTCCCAGCCCCAGAGATTAGCTGCAGCGCAGCATGGTTGGGAATGGACCTCTGTGGATCCGAGGCTACAGGTATGCTACACAGGGATGCCCAAAACACCAGGGGAAGGAGGCTGCTGGGAATATCCTTGGAAACAAAACAATGGAAATAGAATTCCAGAGTGTTCAGGAAAGATGCTGTAGGGGGCAGCAACCAGGTGGCAGGGGGGGAAGGGGTACCCAAGAGGAAGTCTCCCTTCGCCCTACCCAAGGGCAGGTCTGCAGCTACTTCTCCCAAAGCCCTTCCTCTGGGAGAAGCCAGCCTGGGAGAGGTGCCTGGTCCGGAGAGCCTGCGGTGGAGGCGGGGCAGGGAAGCCACAGCAGGGCTCACACTGGGCGTCTCTGGAATGTAGGAACTCCCTGGTATGGATGGCTGAGACACGTCAGGGACAGGAGGAGCAGTCAGAAGGCAAAGGGAGCCCTTCAGACTGCCTCCAATGGTGCCTTAAAAAAGCTCCAGCTGCCCGGCCAGTGCGGCTCAGTGGGTTGAGCATCATCTCATGGACTGAGAGGTCCCGGTTCAATTCCCAGTCAGGGCGCATGCCTGGTCGCTGGCTTAATCCTAAATAGGGGATGTGCGGGAGGCAGCCGATCAATGTTTCTCTCTCACATCGATGTTTCTATCATTCTCTCTCTCTCTGTCTCTCAAATATCAATAAAAACATATTTAAAAAAAGAAAAACGAGCTACTTCCTCCTGTCTCACTTCTCCACGTTTAGCTCTGGGTCTTGTTTCTCTGCGTCGAGCCGACCAGAAAGGCGGCGCGGCGGGACCTCACCTGGATGTCCTTTATCATGATGCTGTAAGCGAGGCCGTGAGACTCCAGATACTCTTTGACGTCTTTCAGTTCAGAGTAAGGAACTCTCATGTCCACAGGGAGGCTGGGCCTGGCTGGGCCACGCCAGAAGTCCACCTTATTCACAAAGGAAAGAAAACGGTGCCTTTGCTGCATGTCCTTGCACACAACCTCCACGGCACCCCGGAAAACCAGGTGATCTCTTACAGACACCAAAGGGCCCCAGTTCCAGAATGAAAACCCTGAGGCCAAGCAGAAGGATGGGCAAAAATGAAAAATCCCCAAGTCACCGGGTCTCCTTCCCTAATTTCAAGCACCCTTATCACCCAGGCTCACACTGCAACGTTGTCAGATCCAAAGAGCCCATAGCCGTTGCCAAATGAGACAGCTCCTCATGTGGGACATTAACGTGGACAAGAACCCTGGTTAGAGGACAGAGATATCACTGTCCCCAAACCTAAAGAAGTAGGAGAGGCCTAACCTGGATTCCCAGGGCATACAGCTACTACATCCATTTTTCAACTTACAAAGTGGAGAGAATTGCTCTAAGGTGTTATGAGTCCTGGTTGATAGGGGCGCTCATACAAATACGAACGAGGACTCTGGGTCACATCCAGAAATATCTGGTTGTTTCAACAGTCCTCAAACAAAATCCTTCTATTATAATGGTTGGAGGAAATGTTTTCCATTGTGGAATACTTGCAGAGGACAAATGTTCTTGGAAACAAATGCTCAGGCTGACAGGGACGAGCCCAAATAAAACACAGGCTTGCCAAGCTAAGCCCTTCCAATTCTTTCACTTGGCAAACAGATGTGTCCAGTCTGTGTGTTGCATGGCATCCCACCCAGAGACATGTGTCCCATCCCCCCGACCCCGTGTGGCTTCAGGACATTTCAGCTGTTTTCGGAGCAGCCCCCGACAGGGTCTCCTCAGCAGACCCCCATCCAGGACAAAGGGGAAAGCCAACAAGAGCCGCCCAAACTTCTGGGCAAGTGTTCCCAACCTTTCCTGGAGAGGAGCCACAGCCGATTTTCCCACAGTTCTCTGATCTCTGGCAGAGCCATCAGAGAGCAGGTCTGGGTGCAGGGCGCAGGATGGGAGCCAAAGGTGCAAGCCACTGTGAAGGAGAGAAGAACACGTCCCCAAACCCTGAGGAGTCCTCACCTTCAGGGGCTTCAGGCCCTCCAGGTCCCTGAGAAGTGAAAGTTGCTTGTCATTCTTAGCCAGGACTCGAAGAACCTGGTCTCTGGAAAGACACAGAAGGGGCAGAGGGCGCTGCTGAGACGGACTCCTCGCAGCCGTGCTGCTTGGAGGAGGTGGCGTGGAGATCCGAGACCAGGCTGAGGGGAGCTGGTAGGAAGGCTGGGAGGCAGGCACCCGGGCACATGGAGGCGGGAGGAGCAGGAGGACTTGTAGCTCTGGGAAGACACAAGTCCTTCATCCTGGGGCCAGCAATCTCTCCAGCCGCAAGAACAGACTACCCGGTAGACTAAATAAAGCCTGCCAATGCTACTAATGAACCCAAGGACAAGACAGAGAAGAAAGATGGGGAGGGATGTGGGGGGTGGAGGAAGGTATAAGAACAAGATTAAAAGCCCTGGCCGGTTGCTAAGTGGTTAGCGTGTTGGCCATGCGTTCAATTCCGGTCAAGGGCACGTACCTCGGTTGCAGTTCAGTCCCCGGACCTGGTCGGGGTCGTGCAGGAGGCAACCAATCGATTTGTCTCTCTCACACTGATGTTTCTCTCTCTTTCTCTCTCCCTCCCACTCTATCTGAAGATAAATGAAAAAAAATATCCTTGGGGGAGGATTGAAAAAAAAAAGAACAGGAAGAATGAAGGGGAGAAAGGAATAAATACTGGGGTTACAGGGGCAAACAACGGCCCCAAGTGCTCTTCATACAACGGTCCCAAGGTCATGGTCTTCTCAAACCTCGTGCCCCAACCTGCTTTCTCCCAAGAGCTTGAGGACATGGAAGGGGAGATCAGCCTCACTCTGCCTCCTGGAGCAGCTGAGCTCCTTCCTGTCGCTCTGGAGGGACAGGGAGGCAGCGGAAGTGAGCAGCCTGCGGCGTGGCCCCCGGGGTCTGATGCCTGGGATGATGTTGGCTCCATCCCTGACTGGTTCTGAGACCATGAATGATGACCCTGCTCTCTAAGCTTGTGTCCTCTCTACGGCGGGATCTCTGGGAGGCTGAGAACTCATGTCCTTGCTGACCTGGGATATAACACTGGTGCTCATTGTTATTTAAAGGAGTATAATGCTACATCCATCTGTGGCAGGGTGCATAGTCTTTTGGGGGTTACTAACTTCTTTAAGAATCTGAAGAAAGCTATGAACCCTTCCTCCAGAAAAAAAAAATACATACACAAAATATTTATGTATGATTTCAGGGGATTCTTAGAGCCCTAAAAGCTTATCCAAGAACTCCAGAGTAGCCCTGGCCGGTTTGGCTCAGCGGTTAGAGCGTCCGCCTGCAGTCCGGAGAGACTCGGGTTTGGTTCCCGCTAGGGGCATGTACCTTGGTTGCAGTTTGTCCCCGGCCCTGGTTGGTCGTGCGGGTGGCAGCCACTCGATGTGTCCCTTTCACATCGATGTTTCCCTCTCTCTCTCTTCCTCTCTCTCCCTCCCACTCTGTCTGTACAAAGGATGGAAAAATGTCCTCGGGCGAGGATAAAAGAAAAAAAAGAACCCCAGAGTAAGAATTCTGGGTTTGGGGAGGGACAGTAATACAGCCATGTGTCCCATCCTTGAGCACAAGAGTGAGAGATTACAGAACTGGAAGGGGGTTTAGGATGAGGATCGAAGTCCTGACTCTGTGCCCTGACCAGCTCCCAGCAGGATGGCCACCTCCCCGCTGGGACACCCAGTCCCTGAGCTCCTGGCATCTTCCCTTCTGCTATGGAGCAGTCACTCACCCTGTGAAATTCATTTGGCCCAAAGCTGATGCCAGGAAAAAGCTGCAGACCAGGAGCGTCCATCGGCCCACAGCACAGAGCCCAGGGCCCGAGCCTCCTCGGAGGGTGCCCTGCATGCTCCTTCCTCCAGGCGAGCTTCAGGGGCTTTCTGCGCGCACGGGCATGACCCAGGTCTCAGCACGGCACAGCACCTAAAGGCCGGCAGGCCCGGCCTGACAGTGGGTGTTAGGCTCTCTCTGGGGAGACCCAGTGTGTGACCCCCACACACTGGCCTTGGGAGAGCTAGGGTGGCCCCTCCCCACTTCTAGGCAAATCCTCTCCTGGACAGAGGCGAGGAAAGAGAAAAAGAGGAAGACAGGCCCTTAGCCTTCTTTCTCCCCTGGATGTTTACTGGGTCAGCCTCTTGTGAGCATCAAAGACGCCATCTTGGAAGAAAGATGAGCATAGCCAGAAACCCAAGAAAATCACTCATTTCCTCCCTCCCCATTTAATTGTTTCCTTTTTGCTCTTCTTCTCCCTCCCCATCCACTCACACTTTCCCTGGGCCATATCCTCCTTACACATAGGCTGTGGACGCCACTGAAAAAAATTTGGGTTTAGAGACAGAACTGGGTGCTCGCTTTCTGTCTAAAAGAGCTGGAGCAATTGACCTAATCTCTCTAAACCTCAGTTTACTCATCAGTCAAATGGGGTTAATAACACGTCCCTTATACATCAGATAAGGGGTTAATTTTCAAAATATAAAGAGTACTCACACAACTCAACAAAAGGAAGACAAAGAATTCAATTTAAAAATGGGCAGAGGACCTGAATAGACATCTCTCCAAACAGGACATACAAATGGGCAAGAGACATATGAAAAAAAATGCTCAACATCACTAATCATCAGAGAGATGCAAATTAAAATGACTCTGAGGTCTCACCTCACACCTGTCAGAATGGCCGCCATCAACAAATCATCAAACAACAAGTGCTGGCGAGGGTGTGGAGAAAAGGGGACTCTAGCACACTGCTGGTGGGAATGCAGACTGGTGCAGCCACTGTGGAAATCAATGTGGTGTTTCCTCAAAAAATTTAACATTGAACTGCCATTTAATCCAGTTATCTCACTTCTAGGAATATATCCTAAGAAGCCTGAAACAACAGTAAGAAAAAATAAATGCACCCCTATGATTATAGCAGAAATATTTACAATCGCTAAGGTCTGGAAACAGCCCAAGTGTCCATCAATAGACGAGTGGATAAAAAAGCAGTGGTACATTTACACAATGGAGTACTATGCAGCTGTAAGAAAGAAAGATCTCTTACCCTTTGAGACAACATGGAGGGACCTGGAGAGTATTATGCTGAGTGAAATAAGCCAATCAGAAAAAGACAAATATCACATGATCTCAGTTATTTGTGGAATATGATGAACAAAATAAGCTAATAAACAAAATAGACCCAGAGACATGGAAGTAGGAAACAGACTGACAAACCTCAGAGGGAGAGGGGGTGGGAGGGCGGGGAGAGATAAACCAAAGAACTTATATACATATATGCGTAACCAATGGACACAGACAACAATACTGTGAAGGTGGGGGTGGGGGGGAGACAAGAGCAGGGCGGAGGGTGTCAGTGGGGGGAAAGGAGAAACATCTGTAACAAAAATAAATTAAATAAATAAATAACACCTCCCTTCCCTACCTCATAGGTTTTGGGGGGCGGGGTAGTAGAAGAGACAATGTGGGTGAACTGGCTTGGCAAAGACTTTCAAATGGATTATTATTTCAAAGCCATTAACTCGTTGTCACAACTGCATCTTAGGTCAGTACTCCAATTGCAACAGAGAAGGGGAAGAGAAGAGAACAGGGAGGGGAACAAAGGAAATACACTGTATGAGAAGGAATTCAGTGAAGAGTCCCTTTTCTCTATCTTCGGGTGGTCCCCATTATGCTGGAGTACGTAGGGAGTTTTCTGCTGGACAGGAAGGTCCCTGCAGTCATTATTATAGTTCTCGACAGACAGCAGAGTCAATTTCTCGGTCCTGCTAAAGCCCCGCACAGCCCCCTTTATGGTCTGGCAATAGTAGGAAGGGAGCAGAGGCCAGCACACAGAGCAGTCATATTGGAAGCAGAGACTGAAAGATGATGTCTGAATGGTAAATGATGAATCTAACAGAAAATCCACAGGAGGTAGAGGAGAGGCAGAGACTAAATCCAACAAAGTTGCTCAGCAGAGGATGTCAACAAAAGGCCACTTAACTGTTACCAGCGATTCTCAGAAGCCCCCCTCCCCGTCCATACCTTCCCAGAATGGCCAATTAACCGGCCATGTGTGCAGAGAAGGGAGCTCTTTTATTGACAGAATGCCCTGCTCCCACACCCGCCGGACCTACTCCATTATTTTGTGGGTCAGCTGTTCAGACATGCCAAACTCTCCTAGAACCCCGGTTTTGGGAACTCTCAGACAGAAACACTAGCAAAGGGTTGAAGGACCTAAAATAGAAAGCAATTACGCTTTCCACCCAAGTAACTTTCAGCGTTAGTAGAAATAGAAATAAAAGAATGTATTAGTAAACAATAGCTCAGGGATGTAAGAGAAAAAAAGTGGGGATGGTGCTAATCACCAAAAGTAGCCAGCATCTTCTTGTTCAAAAGCATCATTTTAAGTCACTAATATTAAGACAACCCTCCCTGTGCTTGTTCTGGGCCTGGGGGGAGGGGGAGAGAGATCAAGAGCAAGAGTGGGAGAGACAGAGGAAGAGGGGCAGTTAAGAATTCTCCAGAATTCTATGACAGCACTTCCCATAGAACTTCCTGTGATAATGGAAATGTTCTGTCTTCGCTGTCCAATAGGATCGCCACTGGCCACTAGCAACTGAAGATTTGAGTTTTTAATTGTATTTCATTTTAATTAAGTTGAATAGCCACAGGTGGTAATGGCACTGTGTACACAGCATAGTTCTGTGGTAACTCACCAGCCCGAAAACACTGCCTCCAATGCTGGATTGGAAGCAGAGACACACAACCGTGCTTGATCTAATATCTAATATTGGCATTTCCGTCAAAATTAATTACTCATCGAATCATTTATTTAATAAATGTCTACTGAATGCCTACTATGTGCCAGACACTTGCTAAGATCTGGAAATAAAATAGTGTTATAGACTTGTTCCTTAGATTTCTAGTGAGGTAAGTAGAAAATTAATTTAAAGAGTATACAAATAAATATTTAAATGTAGCTGGTATATGTGCTACAAGGGAAAGGTCCAGTGTGGCACAAGGACTGGTGACATGGATTCCAAATAGACTGAAGGGACAGGGAGAGGTTCCCTAAAGAAGTTTTGTAGGAGGATCTTTATCTCCTGCAGGTGGGTGGATTAGACAGATACCTAACCACTCCTGCTCAAATGAAACAACTGAAATGCTGGATAAAATATGTTAAATAGCTTTTTAAATGTATCACTCAGGTCCTGGACAGTTGCTCAGTGGTTAGAGCATCGGCCCTCAAACCAAATAGTCACAGGTTCGATTCCAGCCAAGGGCATGTACCTCAGTTGCGGTTCATCCCCGGCCCTGGTTGGGGTCGTGCGGGAGGGAACCAGTCAGTATGTGTCTCTCACATCGATGTTTCTCTTTCTCTCTCCCTCTCTCCCACTCTATCTAAAGATAAATGGAAAAATATCCTTGGGTGAGGATAAAAAAAGAAAAAGAAAAATGTATCACTCAATTGCATGAAAGTAACACTCTACAGATCCCAAAAAGAAGTAAAATCAGACACCAGAGCCCTGGCCGGGTGGCTCAGTTGGTTAGAGTGTCGTCCTATACACCAAAAGTTTGTGGATTCAATGCCTGGTTGGGGTGCATGTGGGAGGCAACTGATCAATGTTTCTCTCTCAGATCGATGTTTCTCTCGCTCTAAAAAGTGATATCCTCAGCTGAGGATTAAAATAGTAATAATAATAGCCAGACACCTGAGAGATAAGCAAACTTTCTCCCTAGAGTTCACTGAATCCTTTCCTCTATGGTCATTTGCCTTCTGCTTGGGTATACCTTTTAAAACGTTTCTTGAGTGGAGTTCTCTGTTTTTATTTGTCTGAAAATTCTTTATTTTGCTGGGTTTCAATTCTAGGTCATTATTTTTCTCTCGACATGTTAAAAACATCCCACTGTGCCCTGGCCAGTTTGGCTCAGCAGTTAGAGCATCGGCCTGCGGATGGAGGTCATGGGTTCGATTCCTGGTCAAGGGCACGTATCTGGGTTGCAGGTCCAATCCCTGGCTCCCAGTCAGGGTCGTGAGGGAGGCAACCAATCGATGTATCTCTCTCACATGGATGTTTCTCTCCCCCACCCCCCTTCCACTCTATCCAAAAATCAATGGAAAAATATCCTCAGGTTAGGATTAACAACAACAACAAAAATCCCACTGTCTCTGGCTTCCATTTTTGCGGTCCAAAGTTCCATTTACTGTTCTATAGTAGGTAATCTTTTCTTATCTCTGATTGCTTTGAAGATCTCTTTGTCTCTGATGTCGTGCAGTTTTACCTTCATGTATTCTTCACATACACCACAGTGTGTCTAGATATAGATTTTGTTTTTTTAAGTTTATTATGCCTGAGATTCAGTTGGATTCCTATATCTGGGGATGGCTCGCTTTCCACTATTTTCACAAATTTCTCAGTCATTATATTTTTAAACTTTGCCTCTTTTTCATTCTATCACTTTCTGGAACTTTTGATTACATATGTTAGGTCTTCTCATTCTATCCTCCAACTCTCTTAATCATTCTGTTATATTTCCATTTTATTGTCTCTCTAGGCTACATCTTGGATAATTTATTTTTATCAAATATTTGGGGAGTTTTAGTCCAGTTAGCTGATTCTCCCATAAGCTGAGTTTAATCTGTAATTTAATCAATCTACTAAATTTTAGGTTTCAATTTCTACAGTTCATCAATTCTAAAACAGTTTTTTTCTTATATTTTAATACCTCTGAAATCAGGGTGCATGTCATAATTAGTGGCATCTTGCAATGATAATTGGCAGTGTTTCTGATGGCTCATAAAAGTATAGTGCATCCTAGTTGCATTTCATAGTCAACACAATATGGTGTTCATTTTTACAAGTCCTACTCGATTTTTTTCAAACCCAAATGACAAATTTCTTATCTATTTTAGAGCTCCTTGCTTGTTTCCTTAAATTTATAAAATATAATTAGCCCTGGCCGGTTTGGCTCAGTGGTTAGAGCGTTGGCCTGTGGTCCAGAGAGCCCCAGGTTTGGTTCCCGCTAAGGGCACGTACCTCGGTTGCAGTTTGTCCCTGGCCCTGGTCGGTTGTGCAGGTGGCAGCCACTCGATGTGTTCCTTTCACATAGATGTTTCTCTCTCTCTCTCTCTGTTCCTCTCTCTCCCTCCCACTCTATCTGAACAAAGGATGGAAAAATATCCTCGGGTGAGGATAAAAAAAAAAAAAATTATAAAATATAATTAGTTTATATTCTATTTCAGGTAACTGCAGTGTCTGAAGACTTTGTAAGTCTATTTCTGTTGCAGTGTTTCTGTTGGTTCTTACTCATGGCACATTGTTTTCTTGTGCCATATACCCATTCATCTGTTGAGTCAATCATTTTCTTTGGACCTTTAAGTGTAGACATCCTTGAGGCCTAGATTGAAATTGAAGTCTTCCAGAGAGGATTTGCATTTACTTCTGGGAGTTTCAGGGGGGCCTGCATAGTTAGCACAAATTTAGATCCCAAACTCATGCATGGGCTTACTTGTTGTTACAAATTCTCCGGGGATATTTTCTTCCCGATCACCTAACACCAAGATTTTAAATCCTGGACAATAATGCACATTACTTTCAAATGAGTAATCAGAGTTAGTGTTTTAAGGTCCTGGAATTTTGGGGAGAAAAGGTAGATATTGATAATTTTCTAGACTTTGGTTGAGTGTGCAATGTTCAAATAGCTAGAATAAGAACTGAAAGACTCCAAACAGGTAGAAAGGGTAAAGATTAAATGACAAAAGGGGTGAGGGGTGGGGAGAATAAAGCAAAAGAAAATGAGAAAGGAAGGGTTTTTTTTTAAAGGAATTTTTTTAAATAGGACAAGTAGAAAAGGGACATAAAATGAAGAAACTCACCTACATCTATTTTTAATCATACTGAATGTAAAAGGGTGTAGCTCTCTGGTGAAAGATAAAAATGATCAGAATAGATTTTTTTTAAAAAAAACCTACCTATATATATTCACAAGAGATATGCTTAAAGAATAAGAACAAAGAGAAACTTAAAGTCAAACATGGAAAAAAGATATTCCAGGTAAACGCTAACCAAAAGAAAGCATCTGTAGGTTTATTAATATAACATAAATTTTGATGCAAAAGGTCTAATCAGAAATAAGAGGGTCAGTACATAACAACACTACTTTCAATTTCCCAAGAATATTGACCATATAAAAATATTCTAGAATAATTCTAACAAATAATATGCAGTCCTTCTGAGAGACAATTATAAAACTTTATTGGAAAATGCTAAGGTTCTAAACAAATCTGAAGATATGCTAAGTTTGGGGGTAAGAAAACTCAGTGTCATAAAATTATCCACTCTCCCCAAATAGATCGACAGTAGAGAGTCAATGTAATGCCAGTCAAAAGCCCAACAGTTCCATAGAAGTTCACAAGTTGACGGAAACATATACGTAAACATAAAGATCTTAAGAAGTGTCAAGATAATCCTGAAGAATAACTACTCGGGGAGCTTTCTGTACCAGACAGTAAGACATACTATGAAGCAATAGTAACTGAGACACTGGTGTATCGGTACAGATAGACGAATAGAACATAGCACAGAAACAAAACCAAGCATTCTGGCAATTTCATTTTGTGCAGACTTAACCCAACAGATCGTTGTGGAGCACACAGCAATGCAATAACGTTGCTGGGACAATTGTAGATCTATATGAAGACACTGGAAGGAAGTCCCTATCATACCACATACCAAAATTAATTCTAGGTAGATAAAAATATTTAAATAGATAAGGCAAAAAACTATAACACACTTAGGAGACAATATAGAGAATATTTTTATGACATTGGGATAGGGAATCATTTTTCTAAATAAGACACAAAAGAAAAAAACAAACAAACATAAAGGTTCCCATAAAGGGAGAAATGGATGAAATCAACTACATTAAATTAAGAACTTCTGTTCTTAAGACCCTTGACAGAGAGAAAAAAGCAGACCTCAAACTGAGAGGACATATTTACAACACACAAAACTGGTCAACAGTTAATGTGCATGACATGTAAAAACATCTGTGAATTATTTTTTTAATGGGCAAAAAACATGAAAGGCCATATGAAAATTAGTAATTAATAATCAGGGAAAAACAAATGAAAACCACAGTGAAATTACCACATCACACCACCAAAATGGCAAAAGTTAAAAAGTCTGTCTAGCCCTGGCTGGTGTAGCTAGTTGGTTGAGTGTCACCCCATGCACGGAAGAGTCACAGGGTCAATTCCCAATCAGGGTATATACCCAGGTTTTGGGTTCGATCCCTGGTCAGGGAGCATTCGGGTGGCAACCAATCGATGTCTCTTTCTCCCTTCCTCTTTCTCTGAAAATAAAATAAAATAAAACATATTCCCCAATGAGCATTTTTTAAAAGTCAGTCTATATACCCAATGTTGGCAAAAACAGGGGGCAATAGAATTTCTCTTCCGCCCTGGCCGGTTTGGCTCAGCGGTTAGAGCATCCGCCTGCGGTCCGGAGA